AATACCTGACTCCCTGTAGAGCAGTGTGTTCAGTTGGATGCACCATTTAAAAGTGAGATTTCCAATCCGTGAAACTACAGAAGGCCTGAGGGCTGATGGCTGGGGAAAAGGTCCTATGAGAAAGGGTGAGGGTACAGATGTTTGCAGCTTCACAAATGTGATGGTTTGTTATTGTCCATCAAAAGTTCCGGTGTGATACAGTGCAAGTTAGGAGAGCCTTAACCTACTTAGTGCATCGAACCCCTGGTGGGGACTAACTGGGTGGTAACTGTAGGCAGTAGGGTGTGGCTGGAGGTGGTGGGTCTCTAGGGATGGCCCCTGGGGTTGCTACTCTGTCCTGGTGAGGGGAGCACTCTCTCAGCTTCCCAGGTGTCCTGTCCTGAGCTGCTTCCCTACTCCACGCCCTTCTGCAGTGATTTTTTAATAATAATAATAATATTAAAATAATAATTATTATTGTTGTTATTTTGTGTGTGTGCAGTGATGTTCTCAATTGTGAAAAGGTGTTTAAAAATCGACTCAAATACGCCGACCCCCACAGCAAGGAGAATGGTAGGCACCTTTTCAGGGGTTCAGTGATTTTCAAAAGGGTGCCACCGGATTTTTTCTTGAAAACCCCAATGTTTCCTGATGCATGTTGTTGTGGGAGATATGCTTCCATTCTCCTATGACCAGGGATTTGTATTCATCTTGGCACAGAATGGGTTGGTCGCCTGTAAGGAATGTGAAGTAGCACATGTTCTTTCTGCTCAATGGACAGGTAGATCATCACCTAGGACATGTGAGTCTGTAAAAGAGTGCATGTAAGAGGTTACGGTTGCATGTTGCCTAATACAAGTTATTGAGTTGAAGTTGCATTTGTTAATTTTAAAATATGGAAGGAAGTATGGTGTTTGGTCCACTTGAGGATTCACTCGATAGAGTATCAGACTTTGTTTCTTTTTTGTGGCACTGTAGAAATGTGAATGAGAACAAGTTGGTGACATCTTTCAGGTGGAAGCATTGTCCGAGGACGCACTCATCAAGTTGGCCAAGAAGCCATTTTGTGAATCCCCTGTTGACTCAAGTCTTTTGATAATGAATTCATGTATGGAGACGGTAATTCTTCATGGACCTTTGCATTTGGTGAGTCACAGAACATGTCTGAGTAGATAATCATTTACCAACATGTCCACAATAATCTCACATATTATGCATAACAGGTCATGGCTGGGTAAATATTACCATTTCCTTTTTTGCATTTAAGAAAACTAATAATGACATTATATGTTCTCCCTTTTTTTGCCTTGAAGTATGTCTGTGTCTTGACCAAGCATGATTGTTGGTAGGTAGGCTAGCAAGAACTTGAATTCAGGGATTTTACTGTCATGTCAATCTATTGTTTTTCATTGATTTCTATTAATATATGCAGGTTGGCATCCATTACCTTTTTAGCTTTTGACTTTCCCAGCTGTGGGCACCCTGACAGCCCTCAACCTCCTGTAAGCACAGACAACTCTATAAGGAACCTGAGGATAAATTTCCCTGTGCATGTCCCCTTGTGAAACTGCTTAGGCACTACGTGGGTAATGTACACACAGGTGGAATTTCTAGGTCAAAGTGTGCATGTTTCCTTCTTTGACTAAGCACTGCCAGGTGGCTCTTCTGAATAGCTCTACCTGTGGCCAGGATTGTATTATCTAGCTTTCTAACTTTTGCATGTGGAGTAGATACATAGTGGGAGCACACTGTTTTTGTTGGTATTTTTCTTGGTATCTCTTCTGATGCTTTTCACTGGGGGATTTTCTCCTGTGAAAATGGGCTTCCTCTGGATGCCTCTGCCCGTTCCTCTACTTGACCTTATTTTCTTCTTCTTTTTTAAATTTTTTTTCGATGTGACTTTTTAATTTTAGTTTTATTAAAGACATTATCCCTTGCCTGCATAGTCTATATCTAAAGCACTAGTCCTTGCTCCAAGGCCCAGCCTGCTCTCAGCTGCCCCAGGGGGGAACAGTCTTCAGTGTTAGCCAAGAGACACCCCTGCAGGGGGCACAAGTGCTCTGGCCCTCTGGTGACTTGCCAGCAGTGCTTTCCATGCACACAGAGGGTTTCAGACACGGAGTCAATAGTCTGGGTGGTCTTTTGTTGCCTTTTGATCTCAAGTTGAGCTCCTCTGGGAGGTCATATTGAAGTCCTTCTGTGTACCTGACCCATCATTTTAAACGATATTCCAAGTTCACTTTTTGTGTGTATGTTGGTTCTGGGGATTGAACCCAGGGCCTTGAGCCTGTTAGGCAAGTGACCTACCTGAGCTACACCCTCAGAGACCCTTGTAATTTTTTCCCCCTTGGTCACAAGGTCTAATTGCCAAGGCTGACCTCACACGTTCCTCTTGCCTCAGCCTCCCTGGTGGCTGGCATGACAGGCATGCACCTGGGACTGTCACACTCTAGCCTGTGATGGGAACTCATGTGCATCTGTCCAGGGCTGAGCATGGTTATGCAGTGCTCCAGGCTCCCTGCAGGGCTGTGGAGGCTTCTGGTGCCCAGCAGCCCTGGTGCCATGGCCAGTGCTCCTCCCAGCCGAGGACAGGCAGCTGCCCATTGCTGTAGGCTGACCTTATTTTCTTCTTATGGCATTGTTTGTCCATTACGAGTCTAACAGGTCTTCTAGAACCTTTAAACAATTAGTAAAATCCCTAAACAGTAAGTGAGCATGCACAGAAATTGGGCTAATGTTTTGGGAAGAACAATGTTGGATGATATTTTCATGGCTTGAATATATCATCCAACATGAAGTTACATTTTATTACTTACAAAATAATAAAATAATGAAGCAATACTATGGGCTGAGCCAAAATATATCCTTAGGATCTTAGCATTCTGTAATAAATCTGCATCACTTGAAGTATAGATTTGATCGTCTCTGGGTAATGAAATGCAAGTATAGGTATCAAAGCCAATGATCATCTGTTTCCAATTTTCTATGATTTGGATCAAGTGGTAAAGGGGTGATATTTATTAATAATGGATCAAATAGGTTCATAATTGTTTTAGAGTACAATTAGATGCCTTCAAACTTTAGGCTATATGGGCACATTTGAGAACGGTTCCAGCCATTCTCTCATCCTTTGGGTCATTCCCCTGCTATGTCATGTGAGACATTTTCTATGTGAGGCTTTAAGAAGAAGAAGAGAATATTCTGTAAAGAAAATCTTGTGATCTGAGCATTAAAAAATTGAATGGGTTCATTCAGAAATCAGAAGTTCTATTGAAAGATATTTGCATGAGCCAAATAAAACCTATTTCTAGGTGTCCTAGTGAGGACAAGGTTTTATCTTTATATGTCTCATTGTCTCTGCCTTGCGACCAGCTTCATGAAAGAAGGTTCAGTTCATAAGAAATTGCTAGTGAGTTTTCAGTTAAAGAGACAAGACTCTCATTACCTTTCACACAGCTCCGAGATGGCTTCTCCTAGCTCCCGCTTCCAGCCACCTAATGTGGTGGCGAGGTTTACCCAAGAGACTAGGGAGAGAGGGAGAGCACGCCAGGGAGTGAGCTTTTATTGGGGAATAAAAAATTCAAGGGAAAATCCCATCCAGTGAAGGTTAAGGGAGGCAGCATCCCAAGGTCAAGGACAACGATTGGGTCTTTAGGTCAGTGGCCAGGCACACCTCTGCACGGACAAGCCCTCGGACCTGGGAAAGGGTGGGGAATGGCTCTGACACAACTGTGTTTGAGCACCTCTCACCCAGCCAGGGAGGTAAGTCAAATCACGTGTGAGGATAGCCTCCCACAATTGTCTGTTGTTTTTTTTTTGTTGTTGTTGTTAAAATGAAATTCATATGTTGGCAGACCATTTTTTCAGATGTGTAACTAGATGCCATTTAAATTACCCACCTTTAAATGTAGACATTTTGTACATGAACACTGCCTGTCTGCACCTTTTTTAACAACCAGTCTGGGCTCAGGAGCCCAAATACCAATGTTAGCTGGAACATGTTCTCCAGTTTGGCCTATCTGCCAGTATCCCCTGAGGTCATCTGTTCAATGAGCTTCCTTACTCCTGCTCCCTCACTGGCTTTCATAGAAACCACATGCTGTCTATGAATCAGGGACACCAATCCCCCAACATTGTGTTCTTTGAGTATCCAAAGTCCCACTTTTCACTTCACCATGCCTGACATAGGCAGTAATATTTATCAGCAAATGCGAGGTTTTCAAACATCTAGGTCTTCCAGCCTCCTAAATTTGAGAAACAAAATCTGTGCTATGAATTACCCAGTGTCTTGTATTCTGCCATCACAACACAAACTATGCTGAGTCAATCAGCAGACTCCCAAGTGTTTACATTGTGGTAATTGACACCAAACATCTGTTTTGTAATTAAACCATTTTGGAGTACACAGTTGAGTGGCATTAAGCATGTTCATGTTGGTGTATAGGTGTCGCCACCCTGCATCTCCAGAACTCACGTGGACATACTCTTGCCATCAATGCTGAATTCTAGTGCCCTTGAGGCCCAGGAAAAGAACATTGTACTTTATCTTTTTATGAACCTGATAATTGAGAATCTGAGATAAGTGAAATCCTACAAAATTTGCCTTTCTCTGGACACGATCATTTTCAAGGGATGCATTTCCCCCCCACTCGTGGGCATACCAGGTCCACTGCCAACTCTGTGGGTGTTTCAAATGCACTCTCAGTGACAGTGGTGACTGTGTTCACATGAGCTGTCTGTCCAGCTCAGATCCCAGGATCTAGGGTCTTTGGTTCCACGCAGCCTATAGGTTGCCTCCTCCTCTAGGTCTCTGCAGGCCAGTGGCGCGAAGGCCCTGGGCCTGTTGGTTTCTTTAGGTGAGTGCAATACGTGTCCACAGTGTCGTGGGTCATAATGGACTATAAATAGAAGCAATGCCTGGATACTCCTGGGATCTCAGTGGGCTCAGCCTGCGTGCTGAGAATTGTTGTGACCTCCTAATTAATGGGCTCCCAGAATCCCAGAGGAAAGGGCAAGTCCAGAGCCAGCGGAATCTCAGTGTCTCTGAGAGAACTTTTGGGGTGGGGGGCCGGGATACATTGATGTGATGACTCTGATGCAGAGTCACGTGCTTCGAATCCAGATAGAGGTGCTCAGGAGCAGCCTGGGCTGGCACGTGGGTTCCCCACCTCCACACCCGTGGAACATCTCAGGGCTCTGAGAAGCACAGCAGCCTGACCACGTGAGGGCATCTGCTGTCTCTGCATACAGTGAGCTGGGTTTTCTTCACGTCTCTCAACAATTCCACATAACACCAGCTCTGAACCCAGAGTCCTGGGCACTTAGTTGAGCTCCATCAGCTCCCACCTCTCTCTACCTGACAGAGCCCTCCTGGCTCCCTCTGCACTCATTACATTGAAGATGAAAACCTGGAGGGTGGGACTTCCCGTCATCCAGAAGTTCCCAAACACATTCCACTGTGTCATTTGTTCCTGGAACCCAAATGGTTGGGGTGGGCCACAGGCACCCTGGCATCCATGTGTGGGAACCATGGTAGTATAATCAAGAAACAGGAAGGAGAGGGGTTGGACTGATGTGTACAGATGGCAGGGCATAGTACAGAGTGGAATGGAGAGTTCTCACCCGGGGTGATTGTTGTGATGTGCACAAATGCTCTGCTGGTGCTGGGTGCCCCCATGGTTTCCGGGGTCTTGAAAGGCTACAGATGCCCACAGAGTGTTCTCAGATGCACATAGTGGGAGGCCCATTGCCCACTACGTACCTGTGGAAGAAGTAGGAGACCCCCTTAGTGTGGAGGTGCCATCTAGAAGGCAGTCTCACTTCTCTGAAAAACTTGATTGGAAAAAAAGGGTATGGACCTGTGCCCAAAGGGCCATATATGCTCCTGGAAGTTGGTGGTGGAAATAGTTCTCCATCCATTAATCACTCCCTCACTCACTAATGTCCTTGTGTCCTTGAGAAAGGCTCTCCCTTTCCTGGTTTTCCTGAATAGAAATCCTCTTGCATCTTGAGTGAATAGTGGTATGCATTGTGCAGAGGGTGTTGGTCCACTGAGCATCTTAGAGACTGTCCTTTATGGAGCCTTTATGGGGAATGAGGCCAGGGTCCTAACTGTGGTTAGTGTGAGGACACCGTGGTTTCAGCAGAGGGAAAGAAGGACAAGGGAAACTCAGAAGTCCCTTCATGGCCCCTGGAGTTAGAGGACTTACCCCTTTGCACCTGGGATCAGGAGACCTCATTTCCTTGAGGACACGCACACTCAGGGGTAGGTCTTGAGTGTGGGGTCCTTACTGGGGTCCAGGGCTATTGTTAGCCACCAGCAATGACAGTGCTCTCCATGCTCAGTGGAGCCATTTTTGCCAGGAAAGAGAGCCCATGGTCACGCCTTGTCCAAAGCATCCCACGCCAGGGGCTCCCATCCCTAGCACTCCTGTCCTGAAAGGAAGCCCCTCAGAGGCAAGGTGGGTCCAACCACCTCCCATGTGTTCACTCATCACCGTGTTCCAGCAGTCACCCCAGTTAACAGTCCTGATGGGACTGGATGTGGCTCAGAATGTCACCCTCATGAGCTCTACCCTGCTCCAGCTGCAGTTCTGCAGTGGGAGAAACACAAAACCTCAAAACACATGCACAGGAATGAAAAGAGCAAGAGCCAGAGCCAAACAGGCCAGGTGTGGCAAGGACAGCTGGAGTGCCTAGGTTGGGACTCAGAATTATGTCAGTGGGGTGGCATTGCTGCTGGCACCAGCATGATAACAGAGAGCCAGCCCTGCTCATTTTGGGGAGCAGTGTGTTGGGGAAGGCAGCAGAAATTGAGAGGCAGGATTGAGTTTGGCCCTAGGAGGAGGTTGGGTAAAAGGCCAGTGTGGGTTGGAGGGCCTGGGCAGATAGAGAGAGGCCAGGGCACACCCCAAAGCCTGGAGACTGCACTTGATGTCCAGGGTTGTGAGACACCACCTCCCCTCTAACTCACAACTGAGAGCAAGAGGCATTGATCAGTTCAGTTTGTGTGCGGCTGCATCCAAGGTGGCTCGGCTAGGCACCTCTGTTTCCTCGACTCAGGAGGCTGGGAGTCCAGGCTCCACCGAGGCTCGGCTGGGAGGATCAGAGTCTGAGTTCATGCCTGTGTTCCTGGTAGGATCCATGTTGGCTAGCCTCAGTGTTTTTGTAATGAGAGGATGGGTGACTGTCATGTCTTTATCACAGGACACACTTGCTAAATGGATTTGTTTGCTCTGAGGAGGAAAGAGAGAGAGGGAAGTGGTGCTGGAGACAGGGATGCAGACAGGGGTCATGGACTTGGCATAACTCAGTCTTGGAGATGACATCCCATCACCTATACCCACTTCAATTCCCATGAATCCAGAGGCTGAGCCCCTTGAGGTGAGGGGTGAACTGGTTCTGGCAGCAGGATGCTGTGGTACCTCGGAGTCTCTGTGAGACCCCAACACTCGACGCACTTGGCCCTTTGGAATTCTTAGGAGAAGCCTTGGGAAGTTGTAGGGCAGAGGGGAGCAGCCTCTGCATCTCAGTCGCCTCCAACTTGCCATGGTGCAGAGTGGGAACTGCAGCCAGGATGGGACGGACATTGGCCACGTCCCTGTGTGGGACACAGGCCTGATTGAGTTGGGGTGCATTCTTTGTCTCTCCCCTTCTTGTGATTGTCCCATCTCTACGTTTGTGCTTTAGCCACCTGTGAGTCCCATCTCTGGTTTCAGAGAGAATAGAGGCTGTTATGGGCCAATAGACACAATAACCCTAGAGATTAGATGCTACCCTGCTTTCCAGAAAAGACTGGGCACACCATGAGTTGCACAATGATGAGACCAGGGTCCAAAAGCTGCTGAGAGGGAAGGACTGGTTGTGAATGCATTTTTGAAGGCTCCAAGCTGGAACTCTAGTGGCACCAAGCAGGGCAGACGCTGGTGGGGGTATTTGGGTAGTTGTTGGTGAACACATGCGCACCTTATATGGGTAGGCATGGAGGAGAAATCAGCAGCCCATAGGGCTTTTGAAAGTGGTCTTATGTGAAAAGAGGCTCAGGTGTGGGCACAGGAAATGACATCATCGCCTTGACAATGGATCAAACAGAACATGGAACCCTGGTATCCAGGCACCCACTTCACTGACCAAGCCATCTGAGCTCATTTGGTTGGAGTCACTGGAGTGAGAAGGATGTTCTCCTGTGGTTGCAAACAATGCCGAACCTCAGGCTCCCAGGAATCTCAGGGGGGCCCAGTAGCCCTTTTGTGGCTACACTGGGTGAGGCTTCATCTTAGACGCCAGAGCCTCTGGCGATTGTTGCAGAGGAGCTCAAGAATAACAGTGAGTAGCACAGGGCAGGGGAGCCCAGCAGGCCCTCTAGTCTGATCCCTGATGAATGGCCCAGGACTCCTATTCTGACTGCGTGCGTGTGTGTGTGTGTGTGTGTGTGTGTATTTGTACTGATGGGAACTGTCCCATTGTGCTTTGACTCTAGTGTATTGGCACAAGGCATTTTTCTGTTTGTCACCATTTCCATTTTGAACCCACCATTCTTGGTCCCAACCCAGGGTGAAAATGATCAGAACACGGAGGAGCCCTTCAGGGTACAGAGCCTTGAATCTTACAGGCAGGACCAGCTTAGGAATGAGCTCCTGCCTGACATTTGTGGGAGGAACCTACATTTCAGCAGCAACATGGGGTTAATCTCCTGGGATTTCATCCCCACCCAGCAGGTGCTGGATCTCTTGTTCCCAAGGTAAGCACCAGACCACGAAGCCCAAGTGTGTAGCACCCTCATGCCTGGGTCTTGGGGCTGCCATGTACCTCTCAGGGACCCAAAGGTTTGTGATACCTAGTGAGATAGAGGACCACGCTCATAGTGGAATGTCAGCCCCGAGTGGGACGAGTCCTGGAGGTGCCTGCCACAGCCTTGCAAGGGGAGTGAACTCCCCCCTCTCAGGCAGAGAAACCATCCTGACTCCAGCTGATCCACAGAGGTCCGTGGAGCAGTCCCCACACACTGGGCACCACAGCTCAAAGGTATGCACTGAGCTCATTCCCAGGTGGACTCAGTGAGGCCAGGTGGTCTTTCTGGTGTGATGTTGGCTTCGTGAAGAAAGTAGATCTGTGCCAGAGGCGTCTCAAAACTCGGGCCTTGGGCAAAGCACTTTTGGGTTAATAAAGACATGTTAGTTTCCATAGTGGGCCAGAGCTTCCTAGCTGGGACATAGCTGGACGGGGGCTTTGGAGATGGCAGCTCCCACAACCAGAGAGATATGTGGGAATCAGCAACTTGGGCTCATTCACTGATGAACAAGGAGAAAGCACCCACTGTGTGAAGACACGTTTCCAGTCACGTTTCATAATTCAGTGAAAAATGGGGTGCAAATGACTGCCATTGTGTCCCTTTTCATGGGGGTCAGCCTGAAACCGCAGGTGCCATGAGTACATATCCTACATGTGACAGCATCCCTGACTCCATGAGGCATAACTGCACGTTGTCCTCTTCAGTGAACATGGTGGACCCTGGACCAACTTCAACATGGAATGGACTTGGGGTCAAGAGGGTGGGCTCCTGTTTCCAGAATAGGGACTTGCAAGGTGATTTGACTTGGGAAGGCTGAGGAAAGACTGTTCTCCCCAATTCTGTTTCCTGCATGCAGTGTAAGGTCCGGGGCTTCAGCAGTAGGAGGGGTAAGGCAGGGAGTTGTAGGTAGTCATGGTCCTCTGGGGAAGGCCCTGGGACGATGGATCCCCCCACACTACACCTCCCAGTCCTCCCCCAGGGCCACAGAGATGTGCTCTGCACTCATGGGAAAAGAGAGGTCCGTTGCTGCTCAGGGGGACTCAGTGAGAGCTCACAGAGAATGAGGTAGCATTGCAGCCCACGCCAGGGGAGGAGGTGTCTCTGGAGCCCTGAGAAGAGTGGGCAGGAGGACAGACACTCCTGGAAGGTGCATTCCAGGTTGGAGAGCACGTAGCCAAGAGGAAGAAGAGTGTCAGGCCTGCCCAGAGGAGGGGAGAGCTGGTCATACCATGGATCTAACGCTCCTTCGTTGAAGGTTCTTTGCCTCGCGACCTGTCCTGTCCCTGCCTGTACAGCCACTGTGACTTGTCTGAGGTTGACTGGTGTGTTCAGAACCAGGGAAGGTTCAGGAGTGTAGCGTCAGAGGTTTGCTCTGGAGGCCGTGGCGAAGGCAAGGCCAGGGTTTTGCTGACTCCCCTCCTGCCTCCCCACAGTGCCTCACCTTCCTTCCCGGGGACCTGGGTGGACTTCTACACCGAGGCTTCCCATCAGCCTCCAGGCTCTCTGAGTCTGCAGCTGCTGCTGCGATCCATGTGGCTCCTTCTGGGTGGCTTGAACCTGGAGCACCAAGCCCACCACCTGCTGGCCCAGACTGAAGATGGCAAATCAAGCCAGGCAGAGCCTGAGAGCCAGGCGGACTGGGGTGAGTACCCAAGGGTATATGAGGAAAGGTCCGACTGTTGTCCCACTGCGGGGAGTCTGTATGCGTGGTGTTGGGCTGGAAATGAGGATAAGCCTTTGTCCACTCAGGAAGTGACCCCAGTCTGCAAAGAGGTCCTGTGTGGGCTAAGGGCCTGAGTTCTTCCTGGCAGCAGGGGTATTGTCTGTCTGTGCGAAGGTCAGGGCAAGGCAGTCATGTTGGCATCTTTTCTCCTCTAGCTACAAGCTCAGTTCCTGTCACGGCTCCTAAGCCAACCCCAGAGCCAGAGCCTTCTCCCTGGGAAGGGGCAGAGCCGGAGTCCAGGACATCAGGGGTCTCCACTAGGAGCTCCTCACGGCCCCAGTACAACAAGCGGGTGGGAGGCAGCTGCCTCATTCACGTCTACCTGGAAAACGAAAGGACAACAAAGTATAAGAGCATCCTGGTGAGTCTTCGAGCAGGGGAGTCTCCTGGGAGCCCACACTGGGGAAGACCGAGTCCACAGCAAACACCTTGGACTAGGCCTGTCTTCTTGAATTGGAGCTTCTGAAAGGTCAGGAAGGAGAGCAGAAAATGAGGAAGAGAGAGTTCGGTGTTAAGAGCTTGACCTGAGAGGCGGGGAGCAGCAGCATGCCAGGTCTGGGTGGGAGTGGGCCTGCGTGTTTTGGGGTGTGCAGGCCAGAAGTGCAGGAGCGAGTGCTGGGTTCAGAGGAGGTCAGAGAACTATCGAGGGTACAGGCCGTCCTCTACCGACCTTGGTATTGAGGAGGAGTATATTGAACAGTGGAGGTTGAAGCAGAGGAGTTGGCAGTCATTTTCTTGTGTGTGGGAGGGGATATGTTGCTGGTTGAAGGGAAGGGAGCCATTGTGGGATGATTAGGGTGGGTAGGTGTGGGTCACAGACAACTGGGGGCCTTGGAGGGGTCCATTAGTGTCCTAGTTTGCATGTATGTGAATAGAGAGTTAGCGGCTCTCTCTGCAGAATTTTCCTGGGTGTGGAGTATCCATCATGAGACTCTGGTGTCCAGCTGCAGGGGAGCCATGTTGAACCACCTCACCTGCTGGGTCCATACCTCCTGACACCCCAGCAAGCACTGACACTCTTGAGGCCAGCAGCTTCCAGGCCTATCATTAAAGAGTCCTGAGTGTGTGTTGTGCCCTGGCTGTCAGGACCAAAGCACCTAGGGATTGTTCCTGATCTGCACACAAATGCTGCTGCATCCCAGACCAGAGCAGGGATATGGAAGCTCACTGGACCATACCTCCCATCTTGATGGGACTAGAGTGTGTCTGTGCAAAGCCTGTTTGGTCCTTGTTCCCTTCTCCCTGTAGGGCATAGCAGGTTCAAGCAAACTCTTGTACCAAGATTGGGCTAGAAGCACATAGGAAGACCCCACATGATCACATGAAGGCCTCAGGTAGCAGGGTAACAAGATGGTGCCCTTGTGTTGAGAGCTCAGTTGTCTCTGATTGTCCTTGAGCACTGTCCTCTGGGTAGCTACTCCCCAATTCCCTCTCTGATGCGCTTTCTCCAACCCTGCTCAGGTGACCTGCCAGGACAGGGTTCCAGTCATTATCCGCAGGGCCCTAGATGCACACTTGCTCCAGCAGGAGGATCCAGAAAACTTTGAGCTTCTGCAAATTGTCTCGAACCATCAGAGTAAGTGGAACAATCAGAGGGTAGGGAGCAGTGAGTCACAGTGGGCTCAGGATAACTGGGAGCCAAAACACAGTGTGCGTTGGCCCAATGCCCAGGAAGAGTATGGTGGGACTTGTGCGCGAAACAAAGTGTAATGATGGGGCATAAATCTGCAGGTTCTTCATGTTCCCCAGGGGCTGTGGACCTGCCTACCATGTGTTCTTTCCTTGGTCTGAGGAGGCATTGCAAAGCTATTATCCATGAGGGGCCAAGAAGAGAGGCTCCTTTGTCTTGTGTCACAGAAGACAGACAACCACAGGGTGCCTACTTTGGCGGCCTTTCCTGACAGAGATGAGTACATGAGAAAAGCAGTTCAATGAAGAATCATTTCTGGCTTCCAATCTTTCTATTCATTGCAAACTGAGTCCACTTAGGACCAGAGGCCATTTCTAGAGAGAAGTGTGTGGTAGAATAGAACCCTTCACAGCTTGTAAACTCTTCTTGGAGAGAGAGAGAGAGAGAGAGAGAGAGAGAGAGAGAGAGAAAGAAGAAGAAGAAGAAGGAGGAGGAGGAGGAGAAGGAGAAGAAGAAGAAGATGGCAGAGGAGGAGGAGGAGGAAGAGGAAGAAGAGGAGGAAGAGGAGGAGGAGAAGGAGGAATAGAAAAATGAAATGAAAATGAGTTGAAGGAGGAGACAATGAACAAGAAGGTCAAGATGACCATAAGAAGAAGCATGAGGAGAAAATGAAGAAGGACAAGAACAAGAAGGAGAAACACAAGCCAAACAACTAATATAACAATAAATCGATTAAAACTGTGAATGAGAATTATACTGATGAGGAGGAAATGCAGAAGTGGGGAACTCAAGAGAAACATATTTCTCTGTATGGCACAGCCCTGCTGTGGACATCCTCCACCCACGCCTAACACACCTCCAATCCATACCCCTCAAATTAGCATAGCCCTGTATGAGTGGATGAATCCACTGGCAAGGTGGAGGCACCCACCTTCAAGTGCTTTTCCCCAAACCCACCTGTGATCATTGCTGCAGTGGGGAGAAAACCTTCAACACATGAGTCTTTGGGGGCCAATCCAGATGCAAAGTCTAGCTGTTTCTCTTTGGCAGGTTAACGTGAACTGAGAGGTTCTGGGGTGCAAGGGGCTATTTCCTTGAAAGGTGTTCCTGTAGTGGACCTCCTGTGCACAGAGGGTCCTCAGGGAGGAATCAGTGGGGAGTCTTTGGTGGAACAGTAGCTGGATTTGCGGGCTCTCAGGTCTGTGTGTGAGACCTGAGCTGGCAGAGGCTCTCAGTTGTGGGGGATGTTGGGTAGTGTCTTCCTTGAGTGTCACCTACCATGCCTCTGCCCCTGCCTCTCCAGAGCTGAGGATCCCTGCTGATGGGAACGTATATTACGCCCTGGATGGCAGAGTGGATTATAACTTTCTTCTTCGGGAAACAGCTGCCAGCAAGTGGTTCAAGGTCAAGCCAAAGGAGGTAAACAGCCACCTTCTTCAGTCTTTACTCCTGGTGCCACTCTACATCCTCCAAGGGGACAAGAACCTCAGGTTCTGGATGGATGTTGTAGAATGCCCATAGAGCCAACTGCCAGGCTGGGTGGGGTGCAGGTGCTGGGCTTTGCTGATGTTGTCATCCCCCACAGTTCTTGGAGCCTTCTATGGCAGTGGCATCCAGGATCCCAGCAGCTGTGAGCAGCAGCTCTGCAGTGGCTGCAGGACCATTGCCCCAGGCCACCCAAAGCAATGAGCGCTGCATGAGAAAAGTCACCAGTAGCAGCTCCTCACTGCTTCACTCCAGCGAGCAGGTGGAAGACAGCCGCTTGGTTCACGTCCTCCTAGAGGGACAGAGCCCGAGGGAGACAAAGCGCATCCTGGTAAGCCCGACAGCAGGGCTGCCTCCTGGGTGTCCACACAGTGGAAGGCAGGAGACACAGCCAACCCCGGGGCAGTCAGGACCAAAATTTTCAGTGTATCTCCCTCTTCCACCCACAAAGGCAGCCTGCATCCCAGAGCACACTTGGCACGCAGGTCCCTGGCCCATTGCTCTCATCTCAGTGAGATGAGAGTGTGTCTGTGCATAGGCAGTTTGGTCCTTTGACCTGAGTGGAATGTGACTCCCCAGGGGGAGGGGAGATGGCAGGTACAGGCGGACATTTGTACCAAGATTGTTCTAGTAGCACGTTGCAAGAACCCAGGGGGTATATGGAGGCCACACTCAGGTAGCAGGATAACAAGATTGTGCCCTTGTATATATAGCTGAGATTTCTCCTGAATGTTTGACCAGAATCTTATGGGTAGCTCCTCTAAAACCCATTCTCTGATGACATTTGTCCCACCCTGATCCAGGTGACCTGTCAGGAGAGGGTGACGAGCCTCATCCGCAGGGCCTTGGACCAAAATTTGTTGCAGCATGAGGATGTGGACAACTTTGAGCTGCTGAGAATGATGTCTCTGCATGAGAGTAAGTAGGACAATCAGACAGTGGGGAGAAATGATCCACAGTGGGCTCAGGATAACTCACAGCCAAGAGAAAGTGGGCCTTGGCCCCAAAATAGCCAGAGTGTGGTGGGCCTGGTGCAGGAAACCAACTGCAATGATGGGCGTGTCCAATGTGGAGGTGCTCAATGAGGCCCCAGGGGGCTGCTGGACCTCCCTACATGTGTTCTCCCCTGGACCTGGTCTGGCAATGCAAAGCTAATATCGATGAGGGGCAAGGAAGAGAGAGGCTCAATTGATCATCAGTTTGGTTTATGGCTCACTGATAAGGATGCCTTCAAATGAAGAGGAGGAGAACATGGGTCCTGATTGGATCAGCATTGCTATGGACGGAAGCAGCACAGGTCCCAATCCATAGCCAGGATATGAGAAGTCCTGCCTACTCACAAGAATGTCAGGATTGCAGCAACTGGGAACAGAACTCAGTGAAGAGGAAGTCAAGGCCAGGGGACACCTGTTTGGGTTCCTTTTGGAACAATTCCAAGTCCTCTGTGCCTGGGTTACCATCTCCTGAAGATATCAGAATGGCCAGGTTATTATTCCTTCCAGCAACTAAGAAGGGCATCTGAAGAACATAGGCCACAATGCTGAGCTGTCCACAATGCAGTGCTCTTTCCTTTCTTGTGAGCCAGACACTCCTAGCCTCCACCATCCCAGCCTGTCCACAATAGAACCCACCATCTGTCGGGCATGTAAGTGAGTTTTCCCATTTTCAAACACCACCTCATTTGGGTTGGCTCTGTCTTACACATGAGGAAGACTGCGGTGCAAGGAGCTAGCAAGGGGGCAGTGTCTGTGAATCTCAGGGACTTGGGAGGCTGCGCAGGAGGATGGGGATTTCCTAACAGCCTCAGAAACTTAGGGAGACCCTGTACCCAAGTCAAAAGGCCTGGGAATGGTCTCAGTGCTTAAGTGCCTCTGGTTTTATCCCTGGTACAAAAATAAGCCAGTCAATAAGGAATTACCAAACTGAGATTCTACGAAGGTGATTTCAGAAACACACTTTCAACCCAAGCATCAGTTGAGAGCAGCTCCAGACCAGGGGAGGTTTGTGTGTAACAGACATCAAAAGTGAGGACTACCGGGGGCCTGGAACCCACTAGGTGTGATGGCATCTATGCCTTATGGCAGGAGGGTGGCAGTGATGCTGGCCCTCTCCTAGATTTTGAAAACCTTGTTTTCATTGGGGAAGCTTTTTGGAGGGGGAATCTATTTTAGCAATCCTGGTCCAGATGAGGTGTTGACTACCACAGGTAGAAGCCTATCCAGAATGCGGTGTCTGTTATTCAGTCTTTCCTGACTGTGACAATGACAAAGAAAGGAAGTCACTTTTCTTTGGTCTTGGTTTCACTCCCGACCATTGATTGAGAACTGATTTCATCTTGGGGTTCTGAACCGAGGCTGCATCTGGGCAGAAGAGTGTGATAGATTTGAACTCCTCAGAGGACGCCCAACCATTGCCAGAGAAAGAAGGAGGAGGAGGAGGAGGAGAAAGAGGACATTCCTGAATGGGGAGAAGATCACACATTGAAGAGCAGGAGGAAGAAGAAGAAAAGGAAGGAGGTGAAACAGAAGGAAGGGTGGAGGGAGATACACAAGAAAAAGAACAAGAAGGAATCATGTAAGAACAAGAAAAAGACCCAGAAAGAACTACAAGAAGATGCAGGACAGAAAGAAGAGCCAGAAGTAGAACAAGAACCAGAATACAAGCACCAAGCAGACAGCTCATGATGAGAAACAATGGGAAGGAGAGCGAACCTAGAAAACTATAGAGTTCTCCAGGGATCACCCTGCTGAAGTCCTCCCAGGTCCATGCCCAACACACCTCTGATGGATACCACCTCCCCTCCGCGTATTCATCCATAAGTGGATTCATCCAAGGATTCCCTGAATGCCCATGTCCGAGCATGGCTGCACTGTGGAGAAAGGCTTAAGCACAGGAGCCTTTGCCAATCCTGATGCAAAGCCTAGCAGTGTCTCTTTGGCAGATCTGACCTGCACTGAAAAGTTCCGGGGCCCAAGGTGCTGTTTCCATTGTCAGGTGCTCTTTTGGTTTAGAATCCTGTACGTCATCTTCTCCAGGGAAGAATCATTGAGGGAGTCTTTGGTGGCACTGTAGCTGGATTGGAGGGCTCTCAATTCTGGTGCAGGCCCGCCCTGGTGGAGACTCTCAGGGGTTGGTGGTGTTTTGTGGTATAATCCTTGAGTGCCACCTAACAATTCTCTCCACTTCTCTCTGCAGAAATCAAGGTCCCTGACCACTCACTCATGTATCTGTCCATGAATCCGCGAATAAAATATCATTTCATCGTGAGGAAATGCCCCCAGGTCAAGGGAAAGGAGGTAAACTCCCACCTTATTCAAGCTGTACTTGTGCTGCCATTCCACTTCCACCTGGGAAATAAGAAGCTTCATCACCTAGACATATGTGCTAGAAGCCCATAGAGCCAACTGACGGGCTGGGTGGCTTTCTGTTTCTGGGCTTAGCTGATGTTCCATCCCCCACAGTTCTCAGAATCAACCTGCAAGTCCTCCAGGCCGCTTTCCCACAAGCTGGTGGGAGACACCTGCTTAATTCGTGTCCACTTAGAAACACAAAGTCCAAAGATGGCCAAGACTGTCCTGGTAAGCCTGGGAGCAGGGGTGTCCCCTGGTGCTTCCACCTGGGTGGGGAACAGACACTGGCCCAAGACCATGGACTACTCATGCCCTCTTGAATTTGGAGCTTCTGGATGATCAGGAGGATAGACGGGAATCAAGAAGGGAGAGGTCAGTGTGAAGGGCCGGAGCTGAGATGAGGGAGAGCAGCAGCTTGTCCACCGCCATGTCTGAGGGAGTCTGTGTGTCGGGTGGAAGCATGCAGTCTGGAAGGGCAGGGGCAGGTATGGGTGACAGATGAGAATAGGACAGGACCTAGGCTGCAGGTTCCCCTGTATGGGATGCTGGCGTCCATGGAGGAGGACAGCAGTATGAGGTTCTGCATGTTCCTTGAACAAGGAGCTGAAAGGGTCTGTCTGCAGAGTCGATATGGATGTAGAGCAAGCACACTAAATGTCCAGGTAACCTGCAGGACAGGAGCCCTTTCCAATGACCACCCTTGCCGGATGAGGTGCCCTCCTACACCCCAGCCAGCACTGAGCCTCTGGAGGCCAGGAGCTCTCGTGGCTATCTTTCAGCACTCCTGTGTGTGGTCATGTTCCTGGGTCTATTTTGGGCCCTGGCAATCCAGACCAAAGCCTCTAGGTTTTGTGCTGGGGCTACCCCAAATGCCGCCTGCATCCTCAGGCAGACCTGGGATCTTGGAGGCCACTGTCCCATTCCTCCCAACTTGTGGGATGAGATTCCATGTGTATACAGGTAGTGGGGTCCTTTCACCTCGAGTGGAGTGTGGCTCCACAAAGAGCAATGGCAGGTCCAGGCAGTCCTATGTACAAGGATTGGCCAGTAGCTTATGGGAAGAGCCCACGCGATGAGCAGGAGGCCAGCCTCAGGTAGTAGGGTCATGGATGTTGCTTTTGTATTTAGAGTTGAGGTGCCTCCATAATGCCTCTGCCCACTGTTCTTGAGTAGTGACTTCAAGGCCCATTTCCTGAAGGCCTGTCTCCCATGCTGCTCCAGGTGACCTGCCATGATAGGGCTCCTGTCGTCATCCGCAGGGCCCTCGAGCTACACTTGCTTACTCAGGAGAAGCCGGAGGAATATGAGCTGGGCCAAATCATCTCTCACCATCAGAGTAAGTGGGACAATCAGATGGCAGGGAGCAAGGATCAGGATGTGGACTCAGGTCAATTCTTAGCACCAAAGAGTAGTCTCTGATCCCCAAGAACACTCCAACACGGTGTGTTGGGGCTCATGCACAAAGCCAACTGCACTTCTGCAGGTGTAAGGTCTCGAGGTTCTATGGTATACCCCAGTGGCTATTGCGGCCCTCCACCAGGTGCCCTCCTCTGGACATGAACAGGCATCCAAAGCTGACATCATTGAGGAGTGAGGTGGAAAGCCTCTTCCCAGGAGCCCTATGGCTCCGTGGTCTGGGATAGGAGTGGTTTCAGAGGGAATGGGAATGCATGGGCTAAAGATGGAACTGGCACTTTTGTGGACAGAAGCAGTACTACTGAAAGCCTTCTTTGTGACCAGAAAACCACTGCCTGGGCAGAGTAGTGCCAGGATTCTAGCAAGCAGTAACTGGATGAAATTGGAAAGAAAATACAGGCTGGGAGACAGCCTGAATCATCTGTTTTTGGATAAATTCCATGGTCTTCCGCACCTGAGTCCACTTGCCAAGGAGTGATCACCATAGCCAGGTTAAGAACCCTCTAAAGTCAGGCCAATGTATTTTATGCAAAGAACCCTCACACAAAACCCAACTTTGTGCTGAGGAAAAGGAGCCTCTCCCAAAAGAATGATGAATGGATCCAGCCTCAACCTCACTCTCGTCCTGTAAAGAAGGCTCCAGCCCTCCTGAGGATGCTTGCAAAACCATTCTACTGCTGTGTGCCTGGGCGGGGCTGAGGCAGCCCAGGAATATTTACATTGATTACTATTTGCTTCAAAGTTTGAACCTATAGTTTGTCAGTGTCCTTGACCTTGTTTAGTAAGACAGTTGTTACTCTATCCCGTATTTGCTGTTTCCATTAATATATTATTATTTTAATATATATATATATTTTTTGTTACCTGATCTACTCTGATGATTTGAGTATATTAATGTAGCAGTGATTCCTAAAGGACACATCCAAACCAACAGGAAGGAATGTTTCATTCTATCAGCAAGAACTTTAGTTTTTAGGAGTATGGCAGATGGCATTATCTGAGTCAGTTTTCCAATGGGGGCAATGAAGTATTGGCTACCATGATACAGAAACAAACAAAGACACACAAACACACACTAGAGCACACACACACACACACTAGAGCACACACACACTAGAGCGCGCACACACACACACACACTAGAGCACACACATTCACTGAGAGATAGATAGACAGATGGAGTTGGTCTCTCCTGAAATACTTTGGAGACGTGGTTCTGATTTCTCCCATTTTAGAGTATTTTCAATTGCATAAGGTGTCCTGCAAATGAATCCCATGTCTGAAGAAGACATGCATGTGTACTTCACATGCCACTTTTCACATAACCAGAAGGTCATGTCATGTAATATTTTTCATGCAGCTGTGTTTTGACTGTGAACCATCCCATGAGGTCAGCTGTAGAATTTTCCACTGGTAGCATCACAATGGGGATCCACTCTTTGGATTTGGGGATATTTCTGATTTTCTTGATTCAGATTGCAATGATTGATATATGGTTTTTGATCAAAATTGTGCATTTGATGATAATGAATGCCATGCATCTAGGAATCTGTAGACTCTAGACAATGAATGCATGTCTACTGTTGCCTGGACTGGTCTGCAAAGTCCTGTAGCATTTGAGCATGTGTGAGGGCTTTATAGGGCTTGCAAAATGGTCAGATGGTCCTACATGAAGCTGAGCTCCTAGTGGTCTCCTCCACAGCATAAGGGCCAAGGAGAAACCCATTTCCACACAGAAGATGGGAAGCTACCTTATGAAGGTGATCGTAGGTGTGGGACACTCTTGCTAGGACCCTTTTTCTATTGGGCCAGAACTGTGCTCTGAATGTGCTTGCTGAGAAGAGCTTGGAATTTTCTAACTGAAGCAGTTTGTGCAAGCTGCTTCCACTTGCAGGAACAAAGTGTGTTCTCCTTGAGCACTTTGGGTTGTCCCTGGTTGAACTAGAGTGTGTCAGAAGCACTTGTAATGATTGGCATTCATGGTTTCACATTGAAGCCTCTGTGCCATCTGTCAACCACTGATGGCTGCAAGTGGGGCCCTGCCATTCAGTGAGTTTTCTGAAAAAGTAGGAGTTTTGGAGAACTGATCTTCTCAGCATTCCCCTTGCCTCCCCAAGTTGGGTGATGTCAATTATAAGGCTTCCTTGGGAGCACACATTTTATATTGGGCTGGAATTGGACTCTGGATGTGATTGCTGAAAATAGCTGGGGAGTGGGAGAATTATGTAATGTGCCTGGAAACGTGTCTTCACACACTGGGTGCTTTCTCCATGTTCATCAGTGAATGGAAGCTGTTTGCTGCAAGCAGTTTCAATTTGCTTTGTTGATTAACTTTGTTGTAAGTGGGCACATGCTATTTTTTTCTGTGTAATGACAAGTGGCGGGACAGCTTCCAAGAGTCTCGGTCGGATTAACACATACCCATTTTGGTTGCTTAAATCCTCCGATGTTTTCATTGAGTTTAGCCGCCATATAGGCTACTTTAGTCCCACAATCAATGCTCTGGATATAACCAGAGGGGGCCGAGTGCCGGGGCCCTCCCTTACACTCACAAGGGGCTCCAAAAAGATATTTATGAATATTCCCAGGTGGGGGGTCAAGCCCTCCTTCAGCAAACCTGTCCAGAAGGAATGCCACAAGCGGGGTCCAGCTCATGAGGTGTGTCTCGGCACTCACTTGAAGGGGTGAGAACAACAGCGGCAGGATCAGCCATCTTGGGAACTTTATTTTGTCTTGAATTTTCATTCACCGGTCTGGTGCAGCGCTCCGGGATCCAAATGGGCTTTTCAGTTCCTGGGGGAAAAACACATACAGCTCCCCTCACTCTAGCCAAGAGTGGAGCCGGGGGTTGCCACTTTCCGGTGGATAAATCTTTCCACCTTATTTGAGCATCTTGTACAGTGGGAGGGGAAAAGTGGCATTGTGCAGCCGTGCGCCCTCCAGTGTCAGTGAGTAAAAAATTTAAAGTAAATAAGGTTATGCTTAGAAGTGCTTGTGGTCCCTGACAATTCCGGTATATCTCCCCCTCTTTTGTTTTTTGTAAATAAGTTTTTAAATGTTGATGGGCTCATTCCACGATAGCTTGTCCCTGTGGATTATAAGGGATTCCAGTCTTATGATTAATTTCCCATTGGGTGCAAAACCGTTGAACCGCCTGGCTTACATATGTGGGACCATTATCGGTTTTGAGGCATCGTGGGGTGCCCATGGAGGAAAAGGCTTTTAGAAGATGACTGATAACATCCTTAGCCTTCTCTCCAGTATGTAAGGTGGCAAAAATGAAGCCAGAATATGTGTCAGTGGAAACATGTATAAAGGAGAGCTTACCAAAGCTAGGGAAGTGTGTAACATCAGTTTGCCAGACATCATTAGGTTGTAGTCCTCTTGGATTAACCCCAAGGGAAGGAGAATGAATAAATGGTGCACAGGTTGGACATAATGAGACAATCTGTAAAGCTTGGTCTCGTGAACATCCTGTGTGGAAGCGTAAAGACTGTGCATTTAAATGAAATTTGTTATGGAATTGTAAGGCCTTATCATATTCGGTCGTCACACAGGAAAGGCCAACAGCATGAGTAGCAGCGTCTGCTTTTGTGTTGCCCTCTGACAAAGGTCCAGGGAGCCCTGAATGGCTTCGGATGTGGCCAATGTATAGAGGATCTCGTCTAGCCCAAATGAGAAGCTGAACTACCTGTAGTTGTTCTGTGATGGGGGATTGCTTTCCAATATATGATGTTGTTTCTATGACTAGAGCCAGATTGGCTACATACAAGCTGTCAGTATATACATTAAGAGGAATAGAACTATAGACTTTGAGAGCTACGATTAAAGCTTCAACTTCCGCCTTTTGGGCCGACTGACCTGACACAGGTTGTCGGAGAATTTGAGATCCATCAAAAACGATGGCAAATCCATTTTTGGCCCAATCTGTATATACAGTTTGGGCTTTTGGAATAGGTTCCCTTTTCATAATCTTTGGGAAGATAATGGGACACCTTTTAAAGCTCTCCAAAAGTCTATGTTTAGGGAAGTGATTATCAATCTGACCCTTGAAGCTACACAGGAAAAGACACCAAAGGTCATATTCTTGTTGTAACTTGTGTATCATATCTTGAGTGTAAGGTTGAATAAGTATGTCAAAGGTTTTTGCAAACAATGCATCACCCAAATATTTAGCCTTCCAAATTAAGTTAATAACTAGCTCATAAAAGGGAGTCAATACCCGGGGGTTAGAAGCCGGCAAGTGGACCCAATAAATGGGACCCGTTTGCCAGAACACTCCTGTGGGAGTAATTTTAGAAGGTAGAACTATAAATGACAAGGGCAGAGAATAATCTATCTGCGTAATCTGCATGTCCTGCAGAGCCTCTTCTATTAGCCTCAGTGCTCGTAAGGCTTCTGGTGTAGGTACTCTATACGACGTAGGAGAAGGATCTCCTCGCAAGAGGTCATACAGGGGTTTGAGCTCTCCAGTTGGAATATGAAAGGACGGGCGCAGCCACTGTATTTCTCCGAGGAATGTCTGCCACTGATGTAAAGTTTTGAGCTGATTTATCTGGAACTGGGGTCTCTGGGGAAAGATTCCTATGTTATTAATGATGTATCCCAAATAATTGTAAGGGTGTTGAAACTGCACCTTTTCGGGTGCTATGACCAGCCCTGCCCCTTTTAGAAGGGATTGGAGGACTTCATAAGATTGAAGAAGACTTTTTTTCTTGGGCCCTGCCAGTAAGATGTCATCCATATAATGAATGAGGTAGAGCTGTGGGAACTGCTGTCGAAAGGGTCGCAAAACCTCAGCTACAAAATATTGGCACATTGTAGGACTATTAGTCATCCCTTGAGGTAGGACGGTCCATTCATACCGTTGGTAAGGTTCCCTAAAATTTGTGGAAGGCAAGGAAAAAGCGAAACGCTTTCGGTCTCGAGGGTCTAAGGGGATAGAGAAGAAACAATCTTTTAAATCTGTAACAATAAGATGCCAATCCTTTGGGATCGCAGTAGGAAAGGGTAGCCCTGGCTGTAAGGGTCCCATGGGTTGCATAGTTTTATTGATAGCTCGTAGGTCCTGAAGAAGTCTCCACTTTCCAGACCCCTTTTGTATAACAAAAATAGGGGTATTCCAAGGGGAGGTAGAGGGCACCACGTGTCCTAACTCAAGCTGGTCCTGAACTAATAGGGAAGCGGCCTGTAATTTGTCCTTAGTTAGGGGCCACTGTTCTACCCACACAGGGTCATCTGATAACCAAGTAATGGACAGTGGAGGTGGCCGCACTTCAGTGGCCCCTAGGATAAATTTCCCAGTCCTCTCCGGTCTCTTCCCCGCCGGGTAACCTGTTCTGCTGGATCCACGGGTGATATTCTGCCCTCATGTCTCTTTCCTAGTCCCCTTCCAGGGATCCATCCCATGTCTAGCATTGCATCATTAACAAAGTCATTATTTCCTTTCAAAGTCTGGGTAGTGAGAATAGCCCCCATTTGATGAAGCAAGTCCCTCCCCCAAAGGTTCGTGGGGAGTCCAGTCACCACATAAGGCTGGAAATGGCCACTATGTCCTTCGCCATCTCTCCATTTTAAAAAGGAGGCACTTCTTTTTGGTCGGGTTTGTCCTATCCCCTGTAACATGGCCGAGGGACTCTGGAGGGGCCAGGCAGGTGGCCATTGTTTTTTAGAAATGACAGAGACATCCGCCCCCGTGTCTAGTATTCCCTTGAAAGCCTTGTCCTGTATCTCAATGGTCAGGTTGGGACGCGAATCCAAATGAGCTATCCAAAAGGCCTGGGGAGTTCCAGTGAAGCCAAAGCTGACGTCGCCCCGGGACCCACGGAGGGCATGCCCAGGAATGGAAGCTAAAGGTAGCAGC